GCGAACATTCTATCCCTACATGTATATCCTTCTCTAGGACCAGGCCGGAGGTTATCAGAGAGAGGAGCAGAAAATGAAAGAAATTGAATGGTTTTCTTTCCCACTCTCCATCTAAATGAAAAATGTGAGAAGCTGTGTCTCCTCCCTCATATGTATCTGTCAGCACATTTCCAGGAGGCCTGGCCACATCCCGGGCACTGGCTGGCTGGGAAACAGAGACTGACACAGCACATTCGTTCAGGCTGGATCCCTCGCCTGGGTGGTCTGCTGTTATCCCTTTGATTAAACTCCCAGGCTGGAAGAGCTGGAGCTGCTCCTAATGATAACTGGGTCCTGAAATCTCACACTCACCCGCACAGACGGGCCAGTGCTCTCTCTGATTCCCTGCCTCCCACTCCTCACCACAAAACTGGGCTAATTCACCACATTCTTCTGCTCATTAACAGTTTCAAAACCCACAAAGGGCTATGACTGTGCAGAGTGCTGCAGCTGTAAAGCACACCTCTCCCAGCACCGGGCGAGGCAGAGAGAGTGAGACCTCACACTGAAGCCCCGTTCCGGCAGCCCATCAGCTACCACAGTACTCCTGAGGAGCCCACCCCCACCCAGGTGAAAGATGCTTCTAGAAAACCCTGCTTTCAGGGAGGGACACACTGATTTCCAAAGGATTTCATCCTCAAAAGATAACCAGCCTCTCACATACCCAGGGAAAGAATTAAAATTGACCTGCTCTCTGCTCTGCTCAGATCTGTAAGGTATTTGCTGGTGATGTTCAGAACTTGTATTTCAAGCATATAGGTGCTGGCACAAACATTTCTGAAATGAACACTGTGGCCACTTCATGTTTGATATTCTTGTGTAGCTTGGGCTATAAACCATAAAATTAAATCATGGTATGTACAGTAAAAGTAATTACCAGGAGAATGAGGTTCTATTTTTTAGCCACGCAAATTCATAAGAGTACAACTCCTAATGCATTAGAGGCTAATTCTGGATAAGATGAAGTTTTATCATCAAATTTTGGGGTTGCAAATGCCCAAAAATAGATGACTGGATCAAGAAGATGTGGTACATATACACAATGGAATATTACTCAGCAATCAAAAAAGATAAACACATGCAGTTTGCAGCAACATGGATGGAGCTAGAAGGGATCATGCTCAGGGAAATAAGCCAGAAAGAAAAAAGAAAAATACCGGATGGTCTCACTCATAGCAGGAATTTAGAAAACCTAAATAAGAGACCAGGAAAAAAACAAATCAATACAAAGTAAAAATCAAAATCAACAAGCAACTATAAACCAGAGACACACTATGGGGGGAGAGATGGGAGGAAGGGAGGGGCGGGGAGAGGAAGGACTAGAGTCAAAATAAGGAGGGGGCTAAGGGGGGGTGCAATTGTATGGGGAATATAACCAAAATGAAAATGCATACATTGTGCAAAGATGAAAAATGATGTAAGAATTATATAAAATAAAATATTAAAAAAAAATTGAGGGGTTGTCAGAGTACTTTGTTCTTTACTTTAGGCTAGGTCGCCATTCCTCAGCATCTTCCCGGTAAGAAAAGAAGAAAAAGGGGTGACAGTGCCTCATCCTCCAATCCATTCTCCTGTCAAACACCTGAGTGACCCAGCTGAAGGGCAAAGCCCGGCTCTGTCTCTTTGGCTGCCTTCATCTATGGCACGAGGGAGAGCTCCTTCACAGGGCGTTCGCAGGTCTCCTGAATCAGCCCATCTTCTCGTCCAGCTTCCATCCGAGCTGCCCCCCGCCGGCTCCCTGTCCTCCAACACCACCAACCAGCGTGCTGTTCCCCACATGCACACAAGCTAGTTGGTGTCAGGCAGCCTGCCTGGCCCTTCGGCCACCCACCTGACTACCTTTCAGATTCAGCTTGGGTGTAAATTTTTCCAAGAAGGATGCCTTAGCCTTTTCCCCACTCCCAGGCTGGATTAGGCCTTTTGGTGCTTCTGACACTGGCACTCCTTAGAAATGGCCCCGCAGCGCGGTTTCCAAGCTGTTACTCGCATGTGTTTACATGGCTGCCACCCGTACCAGAGTAGGAGCTGTTGCAGACGGAGGACTATGTCTTATATCAAGCGCATGACATAGAGCTACAGCTTTTTAAGCTCTTTTTAAATGTTTTTGGATGAATAAATTAAAAAAAACACATGTGATTAAAAAGTTTTATGGGAAATGCCACCGAAAGGTTTAATGGGTATGAAGTTGAAATTACAAATAAAATGATTTTTCAGAAATACCCAAGGATTTCAGGTTGTTTGTGCATCTTCCCAAAAAACCACAAAAAAATTTAAATTTAGTTTTCCGTATTTATTTCCCCAGAAAACCAAGGTAAAGATTGTAAGTGTTTATGGGAAATAATTACAGCAATACTCAGAGAAAATTCATAGTTTTAAAGATGAAAAGCAAAAATGAGTGAAAATAAAAAGTGCCAAACTCAAGAAACTGAGGGAAACAACAAAATAAAGTTAGGTAAAAGTAGAAGAAAGTAAGTTAATAGAGATTTTTTAAAAAGAAAAGAAACAATTAGAATACAACAGAATAGGGTGAAAAAATAAATTCAGAATTATCAAAAAAGGAGCAAGGGAAAGAAAATATTCATTAAGACTATTGGGTGTATGAAAAAAAGAAATCACAAACACCGAATAGGAATCGCAAATAAGGGAACATCACAGGTAAGAAGAAATCGAAAGCATGTAGAGAGATTACTGGGCACAGAGTTGTTTCTGATGAAGCTAAGCTGAAGCTCTCTTGCCCCACGTCCACAGAGGGGAGCGGAACGCCACCACTTTCTGTTCAGATGCCCACCTCCTACCACAGAACCACAGGCACTGCATCACTTGCCTCCAAAAAGCTTTCTTTTCCAAATCAAATTAGAAAGCATTTATTATTGGAAGCCTTTTGTGGTTGAAATAATAATAGTTTCCATGTACATGGCATTTAGACATTACTAAGAGGTTTTTGCATATTATCCTCATGATCCTGTTGTATTTTCCCCCTCAATAAGTAAAGACTCTCAGGTTGAGAGCGGTTGAGTGAATTGCCCGAGATCAAACAGCTGGTCAACGGCAGAGGAAGGCAGGTCTTAGAGGCTAACCCAGTTCTGTCCACTACTCCACCCTGCTTATTATATACACTGTACCTCAGCACTGTACCAAGACTCTGAGAGTTAAGACTGACATCTAATGGCAAGTTCAGATCCCTATGAATAGGAGTCTGATGGACTTTTAATTCACCAGCACTGCTGAAAAGTACAGCTTAAAGGGAGATGACTTCCCAATTAGGATTCCCACCTTGGATTCCCACAGGATTTGAGTCATTTTGAAAATCTGTCAACACTACTATTAGTTATTTTTTACAATTATTGCAAAGAAAATTTCTTAATGCCTTGGTGCTTCTAGCTGCTCATTTATAAACTAGAAATATAAACTCTAGCCGATGACCAGGTGAAAAAAAGTATAGCAGATCACTGGTCCTTGCCCTTCCTCAGAGCCACTTCACAATCCAGAATTCCTCCCTGTTTTACCATAGTCATGGTAGTCATTCCCTCTTCCCATCATGCTATTACTAAATTCTAACTATCCAAGTCTGTTCAAGTCTCAAGACTATCCCTGTAAGATTCTTAGCTTCCTATTTCACATTAAGCCTCCTCAGTTACTTTCTTTCAACTATTAGGGATTTGAAAAAGCAAATGAATTACAACCTCACAGAGTGGGATGAGGCTGGAGTACAGGTAAGACTGACCTGTAGTTTGGTCCTAACTTTCATACAGAGAAGTAGGGCACCACCAGGGAGCAGTGTGTTGCCTACTTTTAATGTGTGCTTGAAGTAATTTTCAGCTTCATTTTTCTCCTAGACTATCATTAAAGAGTTGCCAACAATTAATGAATTCTGATACAGCAGACACACAGAAATTATAACCATAAAGTTAAATTATAATAACCCTTTTGGAGAATTTTGAAGCCTTTTGCATTAAGTAAAAGAAGAAGATAATAGCTTTTACTTCTAGTTAGATACCATGGGGATAGTCAGCAAGGAAGGCAAAAAGAATCCCAAAGTTCTTGAAAGTTGCATCAAACATTTTTTGTGTTATAAGTTTATTTTTTTAGATAAATAAGTAGTTAGAGGATAGATGATAGACAGAATGTCTATTATCAAATAGCCAAAATCCTGGAATCTATTTCCATATAGATAGGTTGCTGGATGACCTTGATCATATCACTTATTTCAGCCTCAGTTTCTCTCATCAATACATCAAGATTGTATCAGATAAGTGTGTTAAAATACTCCATTAACCAGGACCCACAAAACATTCTGAGATCATGAAATTAAAGATAGTACAGGGTCCTCCCTGGTGGCACAGGGGTTAAAGTCTCAGTGCTATCAAGCTATCACCAGCCACTGGAGCATGTGTTTGATCCCTGGCACAGCAGACCTCTCCTGTCTCGCCCACTGTTCCCCTTAGCAGTGTATTTCAGTAGATCTGCCTGTTCTGCTCCCCACTCTGTCTCTAGTGAATCCCCTCACCCCCCCACACCCCCAGTTCTTGTATGCATAAATAAATAAAAAATAGATCTTAAAAAAAAAAATAAAGACCATAAAGCAAAACAAAAACAAACAAAAGCAAAAGACAATGTCACAGAATTTTGATTTAAAGACCAGAACTTGCTGGAAAACTTTACCAAAGAAAGGAATTATTTTTAAAGACCCTTCAAAAGTGTATTTGTGGCTGACATTTAAGCTTGCTTATCTATGAAGTAAGTACATCAGAACCAACAGCCGACCTAACTTTGCAATACCTGCAATAGAAAGTCATTGTCTTTAAAGTTGAAGAGGAACACTTTCATTTAGCTAGAAACCAACTAATATTCACTCAACAGGCAGCAGTATATGGGAATTAGTAAAGAGAGAAAAAGGAGTACCCTGTCATTAATCTAATCTCAGGTCCCCAGAGTTCTTTGTCACCCACACCCATCCGTACCTGCTGGGTGAGGAGACTGATGTGAGTGGATGGAGAATACTGCCTCGCTGCCTGCTTCTCGGCTAGCCGCTGAAGCTCAGCTGTAACCATTGTTGGGTTGTACCGTCTGTTGTACAAAGAACCATCTTCTCCCTCCTTTTGTGTTTTGGCTACTCCTGAATGTGGCTTGTTTGGGTGGTATGAACCTGCTGAAAAAGAGAAAAGCTTTCACCCACTTAGGGAAAACACCCTAAAACACTTAGAATGATGGCAGTGAAGTTTCAGTCAAAGTGTCAATAGTTTACTGAATCCTCGGAATATCTGACAACAAAAGGAGCAAAAACTATCTCCAAATGTTCTCAAAAATAAAAATAAATCCTCATCATACATACTCTTTCTACTGTCAAATCGTTGCAAGCACTTATTAATGTTTTTGTTTACTATGAAAGCTTCATAAAGAAAACTTTCATCATATGCATGGGAAATAATCAAGCCTATAATTCATTAATCTTAATGAACAAACAAAAATTACTTTAGCTGTAACTCACCTTAATATGCAAATTATTAAAGTGTTTAAAAAAACTTGGCCAATGTTAAGATATCCCTCAAACTAATCTACAAATTCAACACACTCCCTATGAAAATTTCATCTATCTATTATTGTAAAAATTGACAAGTTGATCCTAAAATCCATATGAAAATGCAAAGTATCCAGAATAGCCTAAACAATATGAAAAAGAAGAACAAAGTTGGAAGAATTACCCTTGGTGATTTCAAAACTTGCTACAATGCTGCGGTAATGAAGACAACATGGTACTGGCAAAAAGACAGACATGTAGATCAGTGGAACAGAACTGAGGCTCCAGAAATAAAACCTTTCATTTATGATTAAATGATTTTTTGCAAGAGTGCCAAGACCATTCAATAGGGAAATAATACTCTTTCAACAAATAGTGCTGGGATAACTGAACAGCCACATGCAAAAGAATGAAGTTAGACCCTCATGCTACACACAAATAGAAATTCAAAGTGGATAAATGATTTTAGGTATGTACCTAGAAGTGGAACTGCGGAGTCATGTGATACTTTTATGGTTCCATAACCATAGCATCTCAAAATATAAGAGCCTAAACTATAAAATATTTAGAAAAAGCATACATATAAAACTTGTGACTTTGAGTAAGGCAATTATATTTCAGCTATGATAACAAAACATAAGCAATGAAAGAAAAGATAAATTAAACTTTATCAAAATTAAAACCTTCTATGCTTCATGAAAATGGAAACACAAGCAGCAGAATGGAAGAAAACATTTCTAAGTCATGCATCTGATAAGGTACTTGTATCCAGAAAATAAAAAGAGCATTTACAATTCCACAATAAAAAAGACAGTATCACAGTTTTAAAATGTGCAAAGAATTTGAATAGACATTTTACCAAGGTATACAGATGGCCAAAGCAGGTAAAAAGATATCCAGTATCATTAGTCATTATTGGAAGTGCAAAGGATAACTGCGAAAATGAAATACTTCTTTGAACCCACAAGAATGGATAAAATCAAAAAGATAGACAATAAGTGTTGCCAAGGATGTGGAGAAATTGGAATTTCATGCATTGCTGATGGGAAAATGGTATAGTTATTATAGAAAAGTTTGGAAGTTCCTCAAAAAGAGGAATCATAAAGTTACCATATGACCCAGTAATGCCACTCCTAGGTATACATCCAAGAGAAAACTTGTACAAAAACTTGTACAGAGATGTTCACAGCAAGGTTATTCATAATAGCCAAAAAGTGAAAACAACCCAAGTGTCCACCAACTAATAAATGGATAAAGAAAATGTGGTATATCTATCCAATGGAATATTATTTAGCCCAAAGAAGGAATGTAGTACTTATGTGTGCTACAACATGGATGAACCTAGAAAACATTACGGCAATTAAAAGAAGTCATTCAAAAGACCATCAATTGTATGACTTCACTTAATGAAATGTTCAGAACAAGCCATATCTATAGAGACAGAAAGTATTTTAGTGGTTGCCAGAGGCTGGTGAGAGGAGGAAATGGAGTGTGACTGCTAATAGGCAGGGGTTTCTTTTGGAATAATGAAAATATTCTCAAAAAAGATAGTGGTATTGGATGCAAATCTCTGTGAACAACCTGAAAACCAATGAATTATATACTTTAAGGCAGTGATACTATGGTATGTGAATTATATCTCAATAAAGCTGTTATTGAAAAATGGGGGTGGGGGGGAACCTTGATTGATCATATGGGTCTACTTCATTTAAAATTAGATATCCTATTTTAAGAAATCTTTGGTTATTTATTCAGGTCATGGTTGACTTTAATATATTAAAAAATTAAAGAATACTAATTTGTCTGATTCAGGAATAACTAATCAAATCAGAAAGAATGCATCTATCAGACTCACAGGGAAGTCTCGACTAGTCTGCAAGCTCCTAGTAAATAGAAGCTCTGTGTTATTGATCTCTTTATCCCCGTTACCTAATAGAAGTCCTCTTGCATTTTGCAGCAATGCATGAATGCTACTAGGTCAAATGCAAGACTCTTTCCTAGTGATATCAGAGCAATGTAGCATGTGTCCCTTTACCTTTCAAACAAAAAAGGCAAAGGGAAGAGATGACATTTTTGTATGGAGGCTGGGGAGGAGCTGACATTGAGGGCTGCCTTGCATTTTCTCACTCACCTGCCTTTGCTGAAGAGGGACGAGACAGTTTCTGGCTATAGATGTGTACAGCACTTTGGAAAGAGGAAAAGGGGCCAATGGTGTAACTGCCTGAACGGCAGCGTGGCAGGCCCGCGGGGCTTGGTACGTTCTGTGTCCCAAGATGCATGGAGGGAGAAGCACTGTCAGGGGCTGTGTTCAGTAAAACTGCTGGCTGGTGAGGCATGCTGGGGATAGCTGGAGGAATCTGGGATAAAGAAGAATGGTGGCCAGGCCCTGGAGAGAGGTCAGAGGTTGAAATAATAGATGACAAATGGGTGTTGGGAATTTTCTGCAGCAGAGTAGCAGCAGGACCAGAGAAAGAAGCAGAGGAAGAATTTGTATAGACTAATTTAGCCTCTTTTTCTGCTGAAGTGGTAAATCCTATTAAAACAAAAACAAACAAACAAACAAACAAAAAACATCATTTTAGGAAAAACTCACAATCTCTATAAAACAAGAGGTAAACATTTTAAACATCAAAATAATTTTAGCATGAAACACAAATCATGAGAAATAGAGACTTTAATAAGTATTCATCATGAATTTAATGAATTTTGCCTGCTGAGAAAACCTGGCAACAGAAACAGCTTCATTTCAGTACCTTCTAAAAGCTGGAGTTGGGACTACCTCTACCAATCAGAGGAGGTATTTAACAAACATAAGGGCATCAGGACAAAGTTTCTAGTAGTGACATCTTTTCACCCTTCTAGGAAAAAAGAAAGTGCTCAGAAGTGCTGAACACTAAGAAAGTGAAAAATTCCTTGAAAGGAAAATAGGATACCAGTAGGTAAGACGAAAATTCTAAGGGAGAAGGAAGAACAAAGAAAAGGTACTTCACTGGGGTCCGGGGTAATGGCTTATGCTTAAGAATCAGTTAATATTTGATGACTTCCTTTTTCCTTGTAGGGATTTATCAGAGAGCAGCAAATCTATCTAAGTTTGAAGTCACTCACGAGATAATTTATCAGAGTGAATTTCTGTTGCGTGTTGTTGTCTAGGCTGCTTTATTTTCACTTCTTCCATCGTCTCAGGATGATCTGAAATAAGAAATAAAACTGAACTCAGGTTCTTCTACTAATCAAATGCTAGAGTATATTTCATTTCCAAAATACGACACCACTCGTAATCAATGCGAGAAACCATTGCATATCTTATCACACTTTCCCAAGGGTGGCCACCCTCACTGTCAGGTTAAGTGGGCCACCGACCAAATTATTCCCAACTATCCCCAATTCCTGCTCCAGCAAACTCATCCAGGGAAAGATATTTAAACCCAGAGCAGTCATTCATGGACTGTCAACAAGCTAGAACAAGCCTAGAAATAAAAGTAAAGGCAGTCAGATCCCTCTGCCAAGAATTCAGACTAGGGGAACTGAGAGACCAAGCGACTGGTGCTTTCTTACCCAAAGAGCAAAGAAATCATATGTATTGAGCAGGGCAACTACTAGGAGAAAGAAAGAGCAGCCTAATACCTAGTACCTGGATACTATAAAAGCTCTGTATTTTAATGTCCTCAGTTTTAGTTGAAGAAGTTGAGTGAATGTACTTGAGATAGGCTGAACAGCACATTCAAAAACAAAAGCACTCAAACATAAGGAAGTTCTAATCTAGTAAATTAGTTTTCTTAACATAGGTAAAATGTGCCACAACATTGGCTTCATGGATGTGTTTGGGGACTTGACTCCAAGAAAAATAAAAAATAAAAATAACAAGATAAAAATAACAAAAAAAAAATAAAAAAAAACAAGAAAAATAAAAAATAAATAAATGGGACTTTCAAATTAAAAGCTTCTATAGAGCAAGAGAAACTGTCAGTAAAACAGAAGACACCCTACTGAATGGGAGGAACTATTTGTACATCATACATTCAACAATGATCTGAGAGCTAAGATCCAAAAGAACTCATACAACTCAATAAAAAGATATAAAGAACACAATCAAAAAATTGCAGAAGAGCTAAATAGACACTTCTTGAAAGAAGATATACAAATGACTTACAGGCATATGAAAAAAATGTTCATTGCCTTATCATCAGGGAAATGCACATCAAAACCACAATGAGATACCAACTCACATTTATGGGGATGACCCATATCAAAAAGGTCAGAAACAATAAATGTTGGTGAGGGTATGGAGAGAAAGCGGCACACATACACTATTGGTGGAAATGCAGATTGGCCCAGCCCCTATAGCTAACAGTTTGGAGAATTCTCAAAAGATTTAAAACAGGTATAACATGATCCAGTAACTCCACTCTTTGACATTTATCAAAGAAGTGCAAAAACACTAACTTGAAGGGATACATGCACTCCTATGTGCATTGCAACACTGTTTATAAGTTATAAAAACCGCCTAAGTACCCCAAAACAGAAGAGTTGATTAAGATGGGCTATGTAGGGCCTCCCTGATGGTGTAAGGGGTTAGGATGCAACTTATGAAGCTATTCTCAGCCATTGCAGCATGAGTTCGATCCCCGGCCAGGGAGCTACCCACATGGTGCAGCAGACCTCTCCTGACTCACCCGCTGCTCCCCTCAGCAGTGTATTTCAGTCAATCTGCCTGTTATGTTCCCCACTCTGGCTCTGGTGAATCCTCTAACCCCCGCACCACTGGACTGTATCATAGTTCTTGTATGCATAAATAAATAATTTAAAAAAAAATTAGTTTTCTTTCCTAGCACACAATTTTGAAAGAGAACAACTAGAGCTAATTTCATACTTGGAGAAAGATTCCAAAACCTGTCTCAAAAACGTAGAGAGCTCACTCAGATCATCTTTCAGAATGAAAGAATAAGGAGATGTGAATTCTCTCCACCAGCAGTGGTAATTTTGTCACACACTGTTGGCCCTCACCTCCCTGGGTCAGCACATATCTGCCTAGCCCACCTCATTATAAGAACTTACCCCAGTGTCACAGGAGCTTCTCAGAGCTCATACTAACTTTCTTCCTGTATTGACTCACCCAATTCATCAAGTAGACAATAAATGTTATGAAATCCATGACTGTGAGAGTCCTAGTCATTGCTTCCCTAGCAACTACCAAAATGTCTGACACACAAAATAGGTGCTCAGCAGATATACATAGATGGAATGAATGAACAAGCAAATAAACTAGCTTCGGAACTTAGGTAATTAAGGAAAGTTCAAAGAAGAGGGTTGGACTTAGAAGGAACTCTAGTAAAACAATAATTAAATTACACAGTGAGCTACAAGGCTTTTGTGGACTAACCTCTAAACCTAATCAGTTTTTAAAACATTAGCACTTTTTGGGAAAATTCATTCTGTAATTTAAATGACCAATTTTCCTGGCAACTTTCACAGTAGACTATGAAAGCCTTAAGAACAGGAAAGAAGTTTCTACCTTTGAATCTAGTATTTAGCACACTGACAAAATTAGTATATTGATTACCTATATCTTAATAGTCATTTAAATTTTAAATGAATATTACATTTAAAGAATACAGCTGTGTTTATAACAATATCACTACTACTTTTTAATCATATGACATGAACTGGACCGTCCATTCTGTACCAAATCCAAAGTCAAAGATCATGGAGATCCCTAGCAGTGAGAATGTTTGTAATCACGAGAGAATAGCCTGGGTTATCACAAAGACTGAGGGAAGCTATGGGCATTTAGGGCCTAAGTTAGACATAACACTAAGTATGGGATAGTCCCTCATGACAAAGAATTCTCTTAACTAAAATGGCAATAGCGTTGAGCTAGAGAAAGCAAAAAAAATTTAACGAAAGTGAGCAATAATCATTAGGAGGGGTGGAAAAACAGAGCTGTAGAGCACAAGCTTTCAGTCAGGCAGACTGAGGTTCAAATTACTATCCCACCGCAAGGTGAAGTATACCCTTAAGCAAGTTACTCAGCTTCTTTCAGCTTCTGTTTTCTCATCTGAAAAGAAATTTATAATAGTACCTATTCCATATGTTTTTTGGAAGTGAAAAATAAGATCATGTCTGGCAGATAGTAATATGAGTGCTCAGTGAATGTGGCTATTATTAGCTTGTCTCGGAAAGTCCTCTGCTATTAATTATTGTGAAAAAATCAGACCATGTCCCCCTTCTGCTCTTACAACAAAAATGTAATGTGTACTCATCCCAACCATCCCCACACTACAAAATTTCACCACCTTGGAGTCTACAGTGCTTATAGCACATTATTATAGCACATTATAGCACATATATATATAGCACATTATTCCTAGCTTTCCTTTGCATATCTCAAGTTTTCACTTGTTCTTATTTTTCATTAATTATCCAGCATACTTACCACCTTTCCCCCCATTATCAGAGTAGCTGCTGTTGTTTTTTGAACTTTTTGAGTGAGTCCCCAGGAAGACACTTGCAGACTTGTTTTTTTGGGTATAAAAAGTCAACACCTCCTCCAATTCAGCCTCACTAAAATGAGGAGAGAAAATATGGTCAGAACAGGAAGCTATTCTGGAAAATCTTTCTACCAGATTTTATTATGGAAACGGAATACGAGGTAAAGAAGGGGAAATGAAAGGCATAAACTGAAAACTCCTTATTAAGAGATGGCTAAATAGGAGTATAAATGTAGCAATGTAAAAAAATTAAAGTATAATAAGGTGTTATTCATTCCAGTGAATTTTCTAGATCATCACCGTCCAATATGGTAACCAGCAGTCATATGGGACTGTTCAAACTTAAATGAATTAAGTTAAATAAATTCAAAGATTCTTCTCCTCAGTTACACCAGCCTCATTTCACATTCTCAGTAGCTACAATACAGGGAGTTCTACTGGAGAGTCCTGTTCTAGATCACTGGTCATCAAACTACAGGCAGTGGGCCAAACCCGACCAGCAGTCTGTCTTTGGTATGGCTCCCAGCTAAGAATGTTTTTTATATTTTTTAAAAATATGCTGCAAAGACTGCATGTAGCCCATAGAGCCTGAAATATTTACTATCTGGCCCTTTATAGTTTGCCCACCCCACTTTTATAAACTAGGAGCCACTTACTTTAATTACTATGTCAGAAATAAGGAGACCCACGAGTGGAACCACAGAAGAGTTCCCTAACCATCTATAAAATTAGGGACTGAACTAGATGGTCTCTAAGATCACCTCAAATTATCAAAATTATATGCTCTTTCTGAACATCCACAAAATGGAAAGTGTAAGGGAATGAATGAGTGCCTATAGGACTCTTCCAGCAAACATATTACACAGGGATTTTGTAACATGTGAAACACTTTCTCAGTGGTCTTTTAAATTTTTTTCCTGGAAGCTGGTCATGTTCTAGATAAGCGGGCTTCAAATAAGTATCCCTGTATTATTACAATGAGCCTATACCTCATCTTCAGAACACACTGTGATAAGAATCTAGGAAGCTGTTGCCAGGAACCTCAGAGTAACCCTAAGGTCTCCAAAGTGGTGAGGTAAGTATCTCAAGAGACAATCAGAGACCTAAAGATGAGGTTGCGGACAGTCCAGTGCTGCTGCCTGTCATTGAGTTTTGTTGGCCCTTCACACAATACTGAAAGCAAAAGACTAAGTAAGTTTGGTCAAAATATAAACTGCCTTATCCCTCTTGCCTTATCCTGCACACACTTCATACTCTGTTTCATTGACTCTCTCCTGGAAGGTGCTTGAATTTACCAACCTGACAAAGGTATCCATGTACTCCCCAAACTTAATAAAAGAAACCCTGATACTATTTTATATTTCTAACAATCGACATCAGACTCCAACAATTCAAAATCAGAACTAAATGTTTCAATAATGAATAGGCTCTCTCTCTCTGTCATTCGTAAATACTATATATAACTCATTTTTAGTGGCCAGTTAGGCCCAAGAAGGGGAATACATCACTTTTTTGAAGTTGTTTTGTTTTGTTTTTCTATTTTTCTATTTTAGGGATTCTGAAGATCCCTAGGTGGAACTGAAATTAATTTGAACTTTGAAAGTAGAGCCATTTTCTGAACATTATCTAGTTTTTTTCTTTTCTATTTTTATAATGATATAATGATTTCTATTTTTATCATTTTCTTTCCTATTTTATAATGATGATGTGAGAAAATGTGTCTTGCTTTGTTTCTCTACCTGCTTTATTAATCGTATTACACAGGACCTAAGAATGTCAACAAAGTGACATTTCACAATTATGAAATCCTATAAAATGAGGTATTGCTTGCTGTGTTTGTCTAAGCACATGGTACTGAGGCTCTAGTTAGGTATGTACAAGGTAACAAACACAGATCAAACTAAGCTGGCGAATGACAAACCAGCACCTAAGTTCACAAATCAATGGAAAGGTGATTTTCTAACTTTTTCTCTCTACTGTTACTTTCATGGCTGCAGCCCAATTAACTTTTATCCTTTCTCATTTAGTTTTCTACAACTCTGCTCTAGATAAAGGCAGTCTAGTATGAGTCTTACAAAATTTGAAATTATATGCCTTCATTACCTCTTCCCTTGAAAACAGACAAAACGGATTTGCTGATTTGTATCAAGATGAAGAGCTGATTGCTGAGATTTTTCAGTTCCTAACAGCTAACCCTAAGTAAGCATGAAGAACTTGCTCTATTTTATATAAATTAGGCATAACCCTCACAGGGCTGAGAAACTGCCAATTCCTCAACCCACTCAACATAGGCAAATTTTGGTCATCACTGCCTCAGTTAGTCAGGGATAAATTCAGATCCAGTAAACATTAGAAGCCTCTAGCTTCAACTTCCAAGGGCTCTCTCAGCTCTTCAAGTGGTGTGACTTTGAAGGCTGTCTAGAAATACAGCCCAGATACCCAGGAGCAGTGTTTTGATAACTGAAACCATGACAACAGAAACATAACTGGCTGAGATATGCCGCGGCCAGGGCTATGGAACTCTTTCTCCTCCTAGAAGTGACTTCACTCACATCCATATGGTAGAGACACGGGAATGTTGAAAATGCAATGGGACAGTATGGAAGACAGAATACCACAGTTTTTATTAAAAGCTTTTGCCTTTTATTAAAAAAAACTTTTACCTTGCTCGTCTGATGAACTCCTGAAAGTTTTCTGAATTCACCCCATCTTCCTCTTCTTCCTCAAGCTTCTTCTTTGATTTCTTTTCAGCCATTTGTTCTGTTTCCTACCCAGTCCCCAACCCCCGGAGAAAAACAACATGATAAAACTGATGCCTGATAAATGCACACTTCATCATCTAATGTCAGAATCTTTGGGATAACTGTCTTTATAATAGACACAATTCCTCCATTTGTTTCTGCCACTTAGAAATTTCATATATTACTTTCTACCATTATTTCATGAAACATTTTGGAATTACCAAGTAAAAGGTGCAGAACAGATGTAGATTTAGCTTAGTCTGTGGTCACATTTGCAGCTTTAACAAGTGTAACAACGGAGACACTGTATTTTATTATAATTTGGGAAAGAGATGTCTTGGAAGATAACTCCTATATGGGCATTCAAATTGAATAAATTCTTTACTTAATATAAGACATTTCAATAGATCTAGAATAAATTATGGATATGTATTTGGTGTGTTGATATTCTACTAACAATTCCACACGTCTTCAGAAAAGCTATCTAAATTTCCCAGTTGAACTTTCCCTTCTGCAAATTAACCATTCTCCTCCCTTCCCCCAAATGATTTTCCAAAAGCATTCTCAAAGTCTTGGATATAAGATAACTTACAAGATATACTAAATTAAATAGCATATTTCTGGGCTTGGTTGGAAAATGAAGTTACATGTTTTAGAGAACAAAGTGTAACAGAACTTTCTCAAGAAAGATGTCACTATAATAAATCCACAGTTCATATCTATTCTTAAATAGTTAATTCACCATCTAAAGATACAATACGGCAGTATAAGTGCAAATAGCCCAGGAGTCATTAGTGCCATAGTCAAAAGAAATACGCCTTTTGATCAGAGTTAATTGTGGCCACTGGACCTTCAGAAGTAGTAAGCAGCTCTTCAGCCCCTGGGGTGTGATTTTCTGCTCTCCTAAATAGTAAAACACAGAGAATGCTAGAAAAAGAGAAGGCAGACCTTTTCACTCAGTTGGACAAAGCTTATAGCCTGTTTCTCACCCTCTGTGGCCATCTAAAACACAAGGCTGACAGAAAAACCACCTACCTTATTATACACAATGATAAAGTCACCCAACTGGTGGGCCAGGATTCTTCTGCGTTCCAGAAGTGCTAATCGTCGACTGGGTAAGACCATCCTCAGTGAATGCTGGAGGTTACTTGATGCTCGCTTGAGAAAACGGACCACTAGCTCCTACAAATGAGAGTCATTGGGGAAAAATGCAGGGATTATGGTAAGCAACAGAGGAGAAGTTATGAAAGCATTACACACAACAGGCATGTGAGAAAAGGTATATTCTACATTTCAACAAAGAAAAGGCCCAGAGCAAACATGTGAGGTATAAGAAGGGCACAGAAAAACAAAATAAAGAAAACATTCTCTTCCTCCAGTAAGTTGACACTCACAAAATAAAAAATTATGCAAATAACTACGCAATAAAGAAGTGTGACAGTACTATAACTCATTAATAAATAGAACCATAATCATTCAAAGTATAGATACCACTTCTAATAGTGTGCCTAGAGAAAGCTATTAAGAAAGCAGCATTCAAGGATAGGCCGTGGAAACTGAAAACACAGAAGCAGATAAAATCATCAAAAGTGAGAAGACAGAGAAAGAATACGGGTATCTTCATACATACAGAAAGGATGAGGAGGATAAAAACAAACCCAAAATCAAAAAGCATGGTAGAATCATCAGAAATGGAAGGAAACTCAAGAGCAAAGAGTATACCATGGAACCCAAGGGAGGCCTTCAAGGGTCCCATGTCAAAAGCTTAGCTAGAGATAGAAGGAAGAGGTTGAGAAACACATGGATAATGAAGACTATCTGTAAAGAGTAGAAACTACACATTTTTTTTTAAAACTATGCCTCTGCTTGAAAGGTGATAGCTTTTCCCCCCTTTCTCAGGGCTTAGGCAGCTTTTAGAACTGGGGGTTGCCAGGGAGGAAACAGCAAAAAGGTTATTAAGAGAAAGAAAGAAAGAAATACATCTCACTTAAGGTGGGGCAAAGGACTGAAAGCTGGACACCAATTGGATCATTTCAAAACATCAAAAATGCTTCCAAGTGAGATTTTTAAGACCAAGGACCTTAGCCGTTCACCCACACCCATCAATACAAAAAAACTGCTGCAAGATGTTAGGTAGACTTTCTATCACTGTGCATTCTGTGAGTTATGTGATAAAGAATCTCTAACCCTGACCTGAGCTAGAGAAGGCAATTCAACATCTACATTCCTTATTAGCAAGAGCACTGCCATAACTGTCAGGTAATGGGGTAGTTTACTCTCTAGATATAGTCTCAAAAAGGCATGCTCATATTAAGCAATGACCCTAAATATTCTTGTAAAGGGCCCCATAAAAATCTTGTGTGGATTCCAAGTCAGCAGTTGCAGCAGATTCTTTTCTGAGCTTTTTTTCCCTTCTTGAATTGGATTTCGGTGCATTGTCCTTTCTGTTAATTTATGCCAGCTAAAGGAACAGCCCCGTAACCAGGGGGGTGGATTTCACAGTTCTACTCTGCTGTCTCTACTATAGGGTGGCTTCAGCTGTTATATTAAAACATTATTTTTTCACAGTGGAGTAGACACACTGACTCTCAAAAAGGCAGTTTCAATTTTCCACTTGGAAAAAGAAGAGCTAACATTTTCCACTGATGGTTGAAATATTTTTCACAACACTAAGGTTTTATCTCTGGCTTGGATTGGCTACTTTAAATTCATGAGCTGTTTTCTGGGATATCCATCATGTTTTTATAAGCAGTCTGGCATACTGTGTGCCTCTTGTATGTGGAGAAGGGTAGGGTCATCACTGAATTGGACAAAGGTGGAACTTTCTCAGTCTTAAAGGTTCCTCTCTTTCTGGTGACCCATCCCTAGGGTTAAACAGGCCATAAAAGGGCTGTAGCTTCTTCTATAAGCACTGAGCTTACCAAAGAGCTTGAAACTCCCTGTCATTCTGATTCCAAAATAAAACCTTGCCAGAGTATTAAATTCTAGGCATGTTCAAATGACTGATAGGCAGTTTACCACATACATTTGTTTCTAGTAATCTAAGAATTTTTAAGGTTACATCAAGTACTAATTATAATAAAGTACAAATCAAAATCAACAAGCAACTATAAATCAGAGACACACGGTGGGGGGTAGATATTAGGGTCGAAATAAGGGGGGGTGGGAATTATATGAGGACTATAATAAGATGAGAATGCATACATTGTGCAAAAATGAAAAATGATGTAAAAAATATATAAAATAAAATTTAAAAAATGAAGGAAGGATGGTATATTCTTGGAAGGCTTATATAAGATATAGTGCTGACTTTCAATGAGTGAACTCCACCCCTCAAGACAGAAAAGAAATGCCTTATGATGCCTGGAAACCATGGAAGAGCAAAGAAGGTGCAACTGTAACATCTAGGTTCAAGTTTCACTTTCACCACAACCCATGGGACAACAGGTAAGTGACTTCCCTTCTCTAGGTCTCCTGCTTCTTCATCTGTAAAATGCAGATGCTAATGCCTACCTCTAAGAGTTAATCAAATGTGTAACTGCCTGAGAAAAACTCTCAGTTGTATTCTATTCTCTGCAGGGGGCCTGACATCTAATCAATAGTCAATTTCCATTTTTACAATGAATGAGATGCCACATGTGATAAACATGGCTCCAGATCAAAAATTAGTTCACATTAAAGAGACATCTATAAAATATATGTGTAATGATTCTTTAACTGGAAGAAAATATTACACTTTACCCTAATAGAAAAATAAAGAAAAGAAAAAGGTAAAGTGAAAATATTCCAACAAGAAGAGCCTCACCATCTGTTCATCCTCTTTGGCAGCCCAACTGGCACTGAATGTTTGCCCTCCACTGTCTTTCATCAGGCGAATCTGAACATGCTGGAGATAGGCAGAGAATGCTATTCGGGCCTGTACTTTGCTATAGAAATCAAAACAACATACCGTTACAGGGCAGAATGGCTGGCCTACCAAACGTGTACTTGCATCTCTCAAAGTGGCCTTTGAGGATCTTTTCATTGAATGGCTAAGAAAAAAAGAAGCCCATCGTACAGTCACTGAATAAAGGTTTCTTCTAAACAGTACATGAGTTTTTTTTTTTATTATTATTATTAAAAGAATCAGAGACAGAGAATTCTTTTTTCCCCATTTTTACCACGGGGAAAAAAGTCGAACAAGAATTGGAAACTAGGTTTCCTATTCTTATACCTAATCTCTTTCAACTTTTAAACAACTTTCTGGGGGGGTGGTCAAAAATACTGAATCTTCACAAGAACCTATGTATTAACTTTAGAGAAGCTTCTCTGCCTCGGAGGCCCTTACAAACATACTTACCAGTTTTCACAATGTATGGCTTTTGCTATGGCAGCTAGTATGTCTATATGCAAAAGTCTCCAAAGCAGGAAACAGATAAATCCTACAAAGGAACTTTTGAGGCCAAATTTTAAGGTCATGCTTTTTTCAGCTACAAGACAGGAATGGTCAGAGCCCAGAACAAATGAGTGAAGTCCAACAGAGTTTGGCAGAGATGAACGGATGGGCTAGGACGAGCCCAGATGTTCAGCAGGAAAAAGAAATCCTTATATATAGTGAAAAGCAGCTCAGCACCATCACTGAAGAACCTAGCTGAGTTTTGCCTGGTGGTCTAGGTTAGAGACAGGGAAATCTGATTAAGACAGAAGTACCAGAAAGACACTGATAATTTTCACTTCAGTGCTAAATGCAGCAGATCTGTCTTCTTTCAGGAGAGATTTGGGTTACTTCAGCTGATCGGCCTTCGGATACTCTAGCCAAAATTACATCAGTGTAGATTAGGGCCCAACACAAACTTTGTTTACAATCCTCACACATGCAATCACTGAATTTCTACTCACTTGTGCCTCCAAGGTTCGGATGAAAGACTTGGAAATCATAAGAGGGTCTAGGTCTAGCTTCTATGTACGTGTTGGGGGGGCCTGGAGGGCATGGGAGTTAGGTTGGGAAGATTTACTTTTGAAAGTTTAATACCAAAGATTTTCAGCAACATCTCTGTCACTAACAGGGATGGCTTGTAGGACCACTATGATTTTTATGATTTTGAAATAATATATTTTCAAATATTTCTGAATAGGGACAATTGTTCACACCTGGAAACCACATACCACTTTGTCCTCCACCATTCCCATTAATTTTACGTCCATAAAAAATTGCTTTCATGTTGAAATAAATAAAAAAGATTTTTAATTTTGGTCAACGAATTCACTTGCAATAGAATGAGCTTAGAAAAGGCATGTCTCAGACACCTCCAAATACAGCAAAATAGCTAATTTTATTATTAGGCTTCTAATACGAAAACATGAAAATCTTTGGGATAAGAAAATTATTGCCCTGAACGTGAGATTTCAATCATTGTTTTGTTATAAATCAAACGAATAAGTACTGAGCTTTCTATTTCTACACATCTTATTAAAAAGTTGCTTGGGATATTAATTCTGAGACTGTATCTAAGGTATTGGACATATTGGTAGACTTGTCATTAGCAACAAATAAGCAAAAAGATGAAAAGGGGCCTCTCTGGTCGCAAGGGCTAAAGTCTCAGCTATCACTGTGGCATGAGTTCCATCCCCGGCCAGGGAGCTGACCCACATGGTGCAGCAGACCTCTCCTGTCTCACCTGCTGCTCCCCTCAGCAGTGTATTTCAGTAGATCTGCCTGTTCTGTTCCCTGCGCTGTCTCTGGTGAATCCTTTTACTCCCCCGCCCCTGCACCTCTAGCCTGTACCCCAGTTCTTGTATGCATAAAAAATATTTGAAAAAAAATGAAAGAATGAAAATTAGAAGATTTATACTGAAGAAATCTATTTTTGAAAAATAAAACCTATGTGTATTCTCAAAATGTATATACAAGTAGGAGGCTGGGACATGGAGTTTCAAATCCTTGCTTATGGTGGACTTTCCTCAGATGCTCCAGTCACCCATGACATGCCCCCCCCCCAAAAAAAAAATGATGGGCAGATCCAGAGAACACAGTCTGAGAACCACTGATTTACATTAACACACCCCACAATTACAAACAGTTTATTCACTGAAAGTGACATCCATAAGATTTATGTAGAAATCACTTATTTTTACAACAGCTAAGTAGAACGTTATTGCTGGAAATGAGCTCAGAATATAGCTCAGTTGCTTGTAAATGCTTTATTTCAACTCAGTGGAATCTTTTTCTCCCTTCCAGAAAAGTCTGAAAAACGCTTGTCTAACATATAAGGAAACTGAGGCATAGAGAAGCTCTTAATTTAGCCATGATGGGAGAGCCGACTGACAAGCATGGAAAAGGCCAGTGTGCTCTCCACCAATGCAACTATTCTCATTCTTCACCATACTGTTCCAAATATTAACTCTATCCCTCCAAACCCCAAACCCCAAGGTTACCCACCATCGTTGCAGTGTAAGAACTTACTTCTAATTTAGGAAATAAAAGCCATCATGTACCAATTAGTTTCCTTGCCCTATACTGCCATTCCTCTCATGGTGCTATCTTTGTGACTTATTAGAAGAGATACCCTCCCACTGGCCTAGTTCCACCTTCCTTTAAGACACCTCTTATTAATATATCAACTTCGTCATCTCTAATCCACTTCCCATCAAATCCTTCCTCTAGTCTATAAATTCCAGAATCCTTATCTTTAAAAAAAAAAAAACAAATCCTTTCTTGCTCTCTCTGATGCATTCTCATCGTCCTTTCATTGCCAAACTCTGAAAAAATCACTTGCTCATTTCCTCAACTCACAATTTCTTTTCCATGCACTAAGTCCTCCCTAGGTCACAAAAGCCTCTTCTTTCTTCTTACTCCTCATCCTACCTTGATTTGCCTGAGGCACTCTGCAGCTTGAGTCACTCCTGTTATAGCTTCTACCACACCCATTACTCCCTCCCAGTTTTACGTTCACCTCTCTCTCTTTTTTCAAGTGAAGTGTTGTTTTTTTTTTTTTTAAATATTTGTTTGTTTGCTTGTTTTATACAAGAGCCAGAGGCATGGGAGGGTGAGAGGATTCACCAGAGACAGAGCAGAGAGCAGAACAAGCAGACAAACCAAAATACACTGCTGAGGGGAGCAGCGGGAACAACAGGAGAGGTCCGCCAAGCCATGTGGGATTCTCCCTAGCCAGCCGGGAATCAAACCCTCACTGCAGAGGCTGTGGGCAGCTTCACAGTGCTGCGCTCAACCCGCTGCACCACCGGGGAGGCCCAGGTCCACCTCTCTTCCCAATATTTCTTGGTCTCTTCCCTATTAAACATCAGATTTCCCCAGGGTTCAATTCTCATCCTTTTCTCCTTGTCCATGCATGCTGAACTAAACCAGATTGGACAAGCTCATCTACACTGAAGTTTTTATTTATCAACTGTACAATCCCGCCCAACTCCTGACTTTCAAAGCTGCATTTCCACCTATCAACTGAATATCTTCATCCCAGAGCACTTCTACCTCACTGAATCCCAAAAGAAATACAATTTTACCATGAAACCAGCTCCAATGCTTCTTACATTAACTGAGAGCATCATCGAGTTGCCAAATTAGGAAAACTCAGTCTTTGACATTCCTACATTGAATCAGATACCAAGGTCTGTCAATTTTATCTTGCAAATTTCATTAAGTATATCCCAGTCTCTCCAACACAATAGCCATTGTTCTGATGAAAGTCTTCATCTTCCTGGCTCTGGGCTATTTTAAAAGTCCCTAACTCACGACTCTGACTTTAGTTTCTCCTCTTTTCAATCACTCTGCCACAGTGCAAGCAGAATTTACTTTCTAAATCAAAACCCAACCACATCATTCATCTGCTTGAAAATGATCCACATAGAAAATAAAGTACAGGCTCCTTTTCAAGTCCTTTATGATCAAATGACATCCACTTTTTTTTTTTTTGTCTCATTTCTCACTGTGCCCTTTTCTGCTAGTTTACCATACGAATCTGTATTTCTCAAACACACCAAGCTCATTTCAATTTCAAGGTTTTTGTACTTACTGTTCTGCCTGAAACATTCTGCTCCCAGATATTCATGACTTTCTCATCATTCAGAACACGCCTCACCTACTTCTCCATGCTTGAATACCACAATCTAAAGAAACTCTGTCCAATTTTTCTCTTTAACGTGACACCATTTTATTGTTTTCACAGCAATTCTTATTGCCTAAAATTTCCTGGTTTCTTTTTTTACTGTCAGTCTTCCCCACTAGACAATCAGCTTCATTACTATGTCTTGGTAAGAATACATTGTACCAATTGTAACAATACACAGCCAAGCACAATTCCTGGCACAGAGCTGGTGACCACTATTTATTGAGGGACTGAAGACATGACTATGCTCTCAGATCTCTGGGCCTGTATTTCCTATACCAGCCTCCCAGACTTAACAGTCACCTTGAAAGCCTCTGGAAATCCTACTCATTAGTCAAACCCTGGTCCAAATATTGCCTTCTCCCTCATGTCTCTCTAGCCCTTCCAAACAAGACCAATCACTCCTAAGAGTACTCTGTCCACTCTGGAGCCACAGCTCCAGCACTCTAAGTGTCCCTGTACTAAACTATGAGTTGCTTTGAGTTCTTTGACTCAGTTACCTTATGTTCTGAATGACTAACACTAAAACCCAGCAAAATACTGTTAGGCCACTGGGAGCTGGATTGTATTATGGCTATAAACCTCGGACAAGTAACTTTTCTAAGGCTCAGTTTCCTTAAAAGCAGTATCATATCACAATCATTATTTTCATAAAACTGTTATAAATAAGACAAGTGGCTATAAAGCCATTAGCAAAGTACCTGGCAGCCAGTTAAGAATTAGCTATTATCAGCTTTACTAGTGTAATAACAAAATGTTCATACCTGAGATTGCCATTATCTTGCAGGATCTGCATCAGGTTAAATTTGGACTCTGATTCCTGAGGCTCAATTTTGGAGCATTGTTCACCTTTATTACTCCACTCCGAAACTTTCATGGCATTTTCTTTGGGTGAATTTTCTACCATAACAGACAATGAGCGTGTGTATTTGCCTTGATTTTCTCCAAGAGACCCTGCAGACTCCTCCTGGGAAGCTTCCTGTTCTTCATCTTCGTTGTCTAATGCAACTTCTTCTTCCTCTTCACTCTCTGTCTCAGTTTTAACATTCATTTCAGCTGGTTGGGTAATCACTAAATGCGAAGAATCACTAATGTTGCTGAAAAAAGGATTAAATTTTCCTCTCTCCCAATACCTTCCTTTTTTTCCCGTAAAATCCCATTTTAGATCAGACTACAAATAAGACAAAAAACTACCAGCATACAAATGACACCCTCCACTCTAATATATTCTAAAAATCCATCAATGATCTTCAGGAGAGTCAATGTTTCTCATGACAATGCCGAAGGCAGAGGGCATCTCAGGAATCTCTATAGTATGTCAGAGGTTTTCAGAAAGGGACCATTCACTGGGGTACAAAGAGCAGGGGAGATATTCATTATCCCCTCCTTCACTGCCTTGGAATTGAACAAGAAGAGAAGAACCATATCTTTTTTATTCACCAGTGATTAACATGCCCAATATAGATGTGTAACAAAGAAGGGATGGAGGGAGAAAAAGGAAGGAAATCAGTCAGTGAGAGATAGACTTAGGCCATGGGAGACTCTGAGAGGAAGAAATTCCCCTTTGTTCATGTTTAAAATATTTAGGCCAATGCAATGTTAAAGGGTGATGTGAATTTAATAAACTTATTAGGAAAGGCCTAAGTTATAATGTTCAGGACTCCGTTAAACTTAAGTTAATATTATTTCTGAAATATATGATGCTTGATTAAGCGCAAAGCCCAAAATGTTTATGTCTTAGATATTCAATACCAACATTATAGAATGGAAAGTTTAAAATTTATAATGCTTTTGAAATTAAGTTTCAGAGATATATTCAATACCAACATTATAGAATGGAAAGTTTAAAATTTATAATGCTTTTGAAATTAAGTTTCAGAGATAAGACCTATACAAAAAACAAACAAACAAAAAACAAAAACAAAAAAACCTAAGCAAATGTGACCAGGGAGGTTCTGACATTAAATATTAATTAAAGAAGCTAATTAACTAGTCTGGCAGGACCCGGATAATGGAGTTTGGTGAAAGCTCACCAGCAGGTACCTGGGTATTTTGGCCTCATTGCTCTCAGTCTGCCATTCCGCCGTCTACGTTTTCGCACCTCCAAAGATAGGAGCTTTCTCTCATAAAGAGCAGCATGCAGCTTGGCTTTTGAATTCATACTTTCCACCTTCAATTCTGTTGTTCCATCAGCAGCCAATCTAGGGAAAAATAATATAGAAGCTACAGCCTTCAGAAAGATCTCTAATTTATTTCAAGGCTAAGCTTGACAGAATTCTGTAATGATGACAGAATGCAGATGGTAACTCTAGTGAATTAAAAAGGTCTGATAGATAAATGAGAATGGTGGAATCTACATTAAATCTTCACTTAAAGGCCTATCGGAATTCGTTAAATGTTTTGAACAGAAATACATCTGAAGGCAATATATAAGCATTTTAAAGCATTCAGCAATATTAGCTGACTATTCATTACAGAGTTCATCAAGTGCCACCAAATATTTTATAAGAATTACTGGGAGAGTTGGGGCCTCCCTGGTGGCGCAAGGGGTTAAGATGCAGCACTACGAAGCTATCTGCATGAGTTCGATCCCAGGCCAGGGAGCTACCCACATGGTGCAGCAGACCTCTCCTGTCTCGCCCGCTGCTCCCCTCAGCAGTGGATTTCAGTCAGTCTGCCTGTTCTGATCCCTACTCTGTCTCTGGTGAATCCTCTCACCCCCACCACACCTCTGGCCTATACCCCAGTTCTTGTATGCATAAATAAATAAATCTTTAAAAAACAAAGTTACTGGGAGATAACAGGTAATGTTTTAATTCTTAATCTGGGTAGTAGGTAGAGATCTTTATTGCTATTCATTCTAACTTGTTCAGAATTACACAAATGTTCTCTTAAATGCATATAACATTCAATAAATACAGATTTAGCAGAGGTTGAAATGAGGGGAGGAACGGTTCATTCCTGTGAATATAGTAGCACAGAGCTGACTGAGACTCACAAGGGAATGGCCTTAGTGAAAGGTTACCAAGACCTAAGGACACACCCAATCTCAAGCATTCCAATATAAATCTAACTCCCCCTTAGAGCCTACTTAACTACAGGAGGAAGTGGGGAAAAGTAGGGGCTCTCCAGGTGTAAAGTACAGATCAGGAGTTGGAGTCAAAGGCATAGACAAGGCAAGGCAGAAGATGTAGGACAAAGCCAAATTCTATCAGGTCATGAACGGGAAATGGGCTGGGGGTAGGGGGGGGACAGCAGCACATGACACATCCAAGAGAAGTAACAAGTTAGAGAAGTGACTACTATTAGGATCATTTCAGACAAGGACCAAGCAAAGCAGAAAGCAGACAAAGAAAATCATTAGGTCAGAAAAGAAGTATCCATTTTAGTGTCAGAAAACAGGCAGCCAACTCTGGATGCTCAAATCTCAAGACCTAACTGGTTGGCTCTGAACTCTCTCTTGAACTAAACCATAGTCTCTTTGAGGTCAAAAAATCATCCTCACTCTCTGGGTCTGATGGGAAGGTTATATCTTTTGGCCTATTTGGGATTTTTAGGGATTTCTGGGTAAATTGATTGGACAGTAAATCTTTTGGAGGCCTTCTCTCTGGAGCAGGATATTGAGCCAAGAACAGGGAAAGTTCTGACACTGGGGGCAGAAACGGGAAACAGGGTAATAAACTAAAAATAGTCAAAGCCACTTATCATAGTCCCACAAATGAACCTTCCCTTACACACACACACACACACATGTGCGTGCACACGTGCACACACTTGTGAAATCAGTTATTTTCAACCAAATAAATCAAATTTATTAGACTATAAATCTACGGGCCTCCCCTGGTGGTGCAGCGGTTGAGCACTGGGTTGTGAGGCTGCCCACAGCCTCTGCAGTGCCAGTTCGATCCCCGACCACCGGCAAGGGACCCACCAAAAAAAAAAAATATATATATATAAATCTAATATCTTAAAATAATAAGAAGCTTGAAGAAACCCTGGATATACAGATAAATCCTAACTAGTACAAGGAATGGAGGTAGGGAATACTAAGAAAGTGAATCTAATAGACAAGAATTATAGTTCTATGAGAGGTCATGCTGTTTGGCTGATCACTGGGTCAGTGATGCTTATAAGATTGCCCATCACATAGGTGACACACCATAAACATTTTCTAATAAACAGCTGAATTTCTATAAATGAATTTCCTGCAATACCTTTAACTTACATTTATTCCATCTTATTTTTCCAACATTTTATTATGAAAAATACTTAAAAAGTTTAAAGAATTGTACACTAAACACTCATATGCCCACCATGTAGTTTCTACAATATTTTACTGTATGTTTCATTGATATATGTCTATCTGCAATCACCCATTCTTCTATCCACCCATCAATCCATCACATTTTTAAAGCATTTCCTTTTTTAAAATAATTCCATGTCAATTTTATTTTTTCAAAATTGTGCACAGACCTAAGTGTACTTCTCTACTAAACACTTAAACATGCACATTATTAGTATCTAAAGTTCAGTATTTGCTTTGAGGATTTTGGATTGGGGACAGAGAAGATTGCCTTTTTGCTGAGCTAGAAACTACATACAGTGAAACCCTAGATATTAAATGTCCATCTGATGAGTTTGGACAAATGCCTAGAGCTATGTAACACCAACTCTAACATTATCCTCTCAGAGCGTTCTCATGCTTCTTCCCAGGAAACCCCTCCCTTATGCCCCTCGTGGAAGTCACAGTCCTCAATTTTTCATTACATGTTAGTTTTGCCTGTTCTAAAAGGAATCACATGGTAGCAACTCTTTTCTGTTGTCTATCATTCAGCATGTTTTTTGAGATTCATGCATGTTTTTATCCCTTCTCTTACTGCTGAAGATTAACCCTCTATGTGAAAGATCCACAGCTCATCTACTCTCTTGTTATTAGACACACAGGCTGCTTCTGCTTTGGGAATATTATAAATAAAACTATGATCATTTTGCACATGTTGTCTTGTGGTTATGTTTTCACTTTTATCGGGTAAAGATCTCAGTGAAACTAGCTAGGCTTTCTAACAGACTTTTTCTAAAGTGCTTGTACCAGCATTGATTAACAATGATTAATCAGAGTTCCTATTAGTTCCACAGTCTCACCAACATTTGGTATTATCAGTCATTTTCTCCCCCAGCTTTAATGAATTATAATTGACAAAATTATAAGATATTTAAAGTATACAATGTGAGTTAATGTAATTTTAGACATTCTGTTGGATATTTAGTGGCATTTCCTTTTAATTTGCAACTCTCTGATAACTAATACTGAGCATACTGGTTATTCATATATCTTCCTTTTGAAGCGTTTTGTTCAAATATTTTACCCATTTGTAACTGGGCTGGCTGTCTTTTTATGATTAGGAATCTTTCATTTTCTAGATACCAGTCCATTGACGGATATGTTTGATAAGTATCTTAATTCATTCTATGCCTAACTCATTTTCTTAACAGTATCTTATGTTAAGCCAAAAGTTCATAATTTTGAGGCTATCTAGCCTATAATTTCTTCCTTTTGTTTCTGTGTCTACAAAATTTTGCTAAGCCCATCATCACAAAGATGTTTTCCTCAAGAAGTTTTATAATAATAGGGATTTTGTCTAGGAGCATCTCTAATTTTTATGAGAGATAAGGGTTGCGATTCACTTTTTAAAATATGGTATACAACCTCATTTGTTTAAAAGTTTCCTCACCCCAATAGATTGCTTTGGGTCTTTGGTTGAAAATCAAATGTGGGTCTAATTCTGAGTTCTCTATTCTGTTCTACTGAGCAATTTGCCACATTCTTGAATACCATAATACTACAGTACTTCTTGAAGTGAGGTACACCAAGTCTTTTTCAAGATTACTTTGTACATTCTAAGTCATTTGCATTTCCAAATAAATTAGGGGGGGTGAGATTAATTTTTACTAAAACATCTACTAAATAATGACTGGGATTGCACTGAATCTTTAGATCTTGACAATAGTAAGTCTTCTAATCCATGAACATGGCATATCTCTCAGTTTATTTAGATCTTCTTTAATCTTTTTCATCATATTTAATGTTTTTTACTATATAGGTATTGAACATGTTTTGTTAAATTGACCCCTAAGGATTTCATATTTTCAAATGCTATTGTAAGTATAATTTAAAATTTTACTTTTGAATTATTTAATACTATTGATAGTATATTAAAATACAATAGGCTTAGTATAATGTTCTCGCATTCCAATAACTTGATAAGTACAATTATGTTCTTGTAGTTATCCTGTAAACAGATACCTTGGGATTTTCTACTAACATGACCACAACACGCAGGAATGATGATATTTTACTTCTTCCTTTACAATCTGTATGCCTTTTATTTCTTTTTTCTTAACCCTACTACCCTACTCCCCCCCCCCCACCTTCCTTGCTTTTTACTTTCTAGGACTTCTAGTACAAGTGAACACAAGTGGTGAAAGTAGCCATCTTATCTTATTGCTAACCACTGGGGGAAAGTTTTCAATATTTCACCATTAAGACATTAGTAACAGGATTTTTAATAGAAGGCCTTTATCACATTGAGGAAGTTTCCTTTTATTCCTGATTTGCTAAGAGTTTTTCCTTATGAATTTCACATTGACGAAGTTTCCTTTTATTCCTGATTTGCTAAGAGTTTTTCCTTATGAATTTCATATAATATTTTAACATCTAATGAAATGACCATGAGGTTTTTCTCCTTTGTTAATATAATGAATCATACTGGCTAATTTTCAAATGTTAAATCAAGCTTGCATGACTGGGAAAAACCTCATTTAGTCATATGTATTGTCCTTTTTACATGCTGGAAGATTCAATGTGTTAACATTCTTTTAAGAAATTTTGTATCTCTGTTCAAAAAGACATTAGTCTGTAACTTTCTGCTTTTTGGGAAAAAAAAGTCTCTGTCAAGTTTGCGTGTTATAGTTATACTGGCATTGTAAAACGAATGGGAAGTACTCCTTTCCATATATTTGACAACTCATGTAAGATTGCTACTATACTTCCTCAAATGCTTGATAAAATTCAACAATAAAACTACTAGACCAATGGTTTTCTTTGTAGGAAGGCTTTTTATTACAAATCTAATAGAGGTCTTTTCAAAATTTCTATTTCTTTTGTCAGTTTTGTGCTTCCTCTCACCAAAGAACTTTGACATTTTATCTAAATTGTCCCAGTGGTAGATATGGTTATTATAGTAATAGTCCCTTAATACTATGTCTGTAGCCTCTACAGTCATGTCCCCTCTTTCCTATCTGATTATGGTCAACTGGTGTTTGCTCTTCTTTCTACCTAAGAGTTGATCAATTCTGTTAACTTACCAATGAAAAAATTTTGGATTTATTTTTTATTGTTTGTCTTCTATTTAACTGATTTCTATAAATATTACTTCCTCTCTCCTACTTACTCTGCGTTACTCTTCTTTTTCTCTTAACTTCTTATAATGGAATGTTAGATAACTGACTTTAGTCTTCTCTTTTCCAAAATAAGCATTAAAAGCTATAAATTTCCTCCAAAGCACTATTATCCAGTTCAAAATATTTTCTAATTTCTCTTGTAATGTCTTCCTTGACCCATGGATTAAGAAATGTGTTGAATCAGAAATGTATTCTCTCCCAAATACTTTCACTTTGAGTAGAAAATACTAAAGATTTTCTACTTACTGATTTCTAATTTCATTTTGGTCGAAGAACATATTATACATGATTTTAGTCCCTTTAAATACATTAAGACTAGTTTCATGCTCCAGCAAATGGTGTATCAATGTCAAATTTCATTTGCTTATATCTCTAAGCCACCCAAACATCCCTACTTGTGGCAATATAAAATGAGTGGCCCAAAATGAACAGAGACCGAACCCAATGATCTTTAAATATTCTTGTTGTTTAAGATTTTTTCTAATTTCCAAATTGAAAGCATTATACTCTACAAACATATTTCTTGACTAAAGACTGGAGAAAACCTATAAACTTAGTGTGACTTTCATTTGGAAACAGGTTGCAAACTCAATTTCTCCTAGTTTTCCCTTAAGTGAATGGCATACCCTTTTTCTTCCTTAATGAAAAAGCAGATTTATGCTTTAAAGGATTTGGATGACAGTTTATCTTAATTCTTATAGGTAAAGCAAAAAGCTAGCTGTAGAAGGTCTCTTTCTCATCATTTTCATTTTTTTTTTTTTAAAGCAGTACAACACAAAGTGGATGTATGGAATGTCTCAAGCTCTCTATAACCAACGGTATGTGTTTAGGCTTGGGTTACAGTTATGGTTGTGATTCTGAGGTGGGCAAAGTCCTTCTAGTCCATCCTCTAAGACATTTTTCTCCTCTGCCAGAATATGCATTTTGCACACTTTTAGTTTCATGGCAAACTGGAAACAGTTCTGATCAACCCTATGAAGCACAGAGCTGAATACTACATGTATAGAAAGATGAAAATGCAGCTTCTTATTTGCATCTAAATGACAGTAATGTTGAAATCCCATTAGTACTTTGGTCTCTATTACACAGCTAAACAAGAAAACTATTACTATCAATTGAAATTATATACCTGTAGTCATTAAAAAAACAAAAACAAAACTAAGTTTGTAAGAAATTGCCACAGAGTAATGTTTCAATAAAAACATTCTATGTTATTATTCAAGCTGAGTCAAACTGAAAATGGTCATGTAAAGTATCATGCTTAGTCCCATGGTCATACACTATGCACATGGAAAGAATTTCTCAACTTGCAAAATCAGTTACCGTGTTCTTCCTGTCAATAAGCTTCTTCTTGGGTTTCCCCTACAGAAGTAGAAAGGACACGTGGGTTAGAGAGCACTATGCAGACATTCTCTCCTGGGTTCACACACACATGCACTCCCCTAAGATTTATATTGCAGATTCCACATGAAATTATGCCAGGAAAGGCATCTTTGCGGAGTAGAGAAATGAATTGAGAACATTCTCAGAAAAGGTAGAGAACTGCAAGTTTGAGGGAGGGTTATTGAAAAACAAAAGGGCAAGGATAAATGAATTCCAGAGACAAATCATAACAATTACTAGAATTACTTGAACAATTTGTGAATTCTAGTCACAAATCAAATCCCATTTATTCTTCATAACTATGTGGAGCAGGCTATTATTAGCTCCACTGATAAAAAAGAGCAGGCTCTGTTCATTTTGTGACATGCCCAAGGTCAAAGTATAAAGGGTTTAAATTTGAAGCCAGGACTTAGGTCTTTGGCTCCAATGCTCTTTCTACTTGCACTAAACAGTATTTGGAAAAGAACCCACTATCAATTCTCATGAGATTCAAAAAGGATGCTCATCAGAAATCGATGTTCCATAATTTAAAAAAACAAAAACTCTTTAAAAAAGAGATGCTATTGTCTCCACATTAGAGATGGGCGCTAACCGAAGGAACTGGGTGCCATTCATGTTCCAATTGGCTCTTTTAAAACATTCTCACATTTAATTTGCTTTCACTTAATAATATTTTTATTTTCCCCTTCTAATGTATTTATTTGTATATGTGTATATTTAGTCTAATTGTATCACTGTAACATTCACGTATTCACTGCTGCTGACCACATACTGAGTAATTCCACCAGCATAAGGAACCTCCTTGTATTGCCCTTCTATAACCAGACACTTCTTACCTAGCCCCTAGCTCCCCTTAGTCTGTACTCCATTCTAACACTGTATCATTTCAAAGTGTTATATAAATGGAATCACACAACACGTACCCTTTGGTATTGGGTTTAAATCAATTCCCTTTGTTGTTTAAAAATGTTAAAGCTATAAATTCCTTATGAGCCAGACAAAGGTTAATTTCTTTGACAAAAAAATCGATTCCTACAATTTCCTTTTTTCCTTACCACCATTCCTTACACCTGATTTATCACTTCTCCTTCCACCCTCCTTCTTAGCCTCAGAAAACCTACTTCGCTTTTGAGTGTCCACTAGTTTATAATCATTTTGCTTTATCGATTCACCCTCTATGATTTCTGGTTTTACATATGGCATTGTTTTTTTTTTTTAAAATAGACAGATGCAATGAATTTGAAGATTTTCTGTCTATAAAAACCTCAAGTGAAAAGCTTAAGTCTTCCCAAAATGTATTCTTTCCTCCTAATTTTTTTTCTATTCATGCTAATAGCAAATAGTTCTAGCAAATAATTTTAGCAAATAGTTTTCTCTAGTAATTTGGAATCATAGCTTCACATGGCAATTGCCCGGGTAGCTTTTAGCACAAACCAGTACTTCAGTCTAGGGTTGGGGCCAGAGCATATGGTTTGCCAGATTACCACGTGCTCCTAACATGCAGTCAAGGTTAAATTACTGTCATACCATAAGATAGTAAGATACGATATGCCTGAGCAGGGTGGGTAGGTGGGTGAGAGGGCATGGAAGGAAGACAAAATTAATCTGAAAGAAATGATTAGAAAATTAGTTTGAAAGTGACCTGACAATAACACAATGGAATATGTGAAAGGGAAAACATCTTCATATTGAAGAGAAAGCTGACTTACTTGAAGAGATTAGGGCTTGCAATAAATATGGTTATATTTTTAATGCATTAATATTTTGTATTTGCACTCACTAGGTGGTAGGTTTCTGATACTGGCAATGATGAACATTAAAAGCACCTCCTCTTAAAAAGCCAATTGTCATTCAAATAGACTAGAGAGTAAACAGGCAATGATAATACAATATGGGAATTTAAGTCACACTGAAGTGTAAGAAGGGCTTCTCCCTGTGTAGGTAAGAGGATGAAGGACATAACTAGAAGAATTCAGGGATGGATTAAAGGCTATTCCAAGGATGGCAAGCAAGTAAGGATAAGGAGGCGGTGAAAAGAAAAAGTAGACATGGCCATGAGTTGGTGTGGAAAAATGAAGATTAAGCTAAAATGACAGACTAGATCGTGAGGGTATTCCTTTGCTAAACTGGGAAATTCATGCTTGTTTGTTTTTAAATCAAAGTTTTAAGAATGCTTTATAAGCAGGAAATGTTAACTGGGGTCTGAAGAAAAAATTCAGGGAGTGCACAAATTTGAAGGGAAAAAAGGTATCTCTTAGCTGTAGTTCAGCATCTCCTTCATATACATGTTAGAAGTGATCCATAGTAGTAGCATATCAAAAGTGTTAACTTTTCTTCCATTAAATTTTAGAGTTGTTACAGGTGGCTATTGCCAATAAATGTTGCCAACACTTATTGTACTGTTTATTTTTTTATATATTTTTTAAAGATTTATTTATGCATATAAGAGCTGGGTACAGGCCAGAGGTGTGGGGGAAGAGAGGATCCACCAGAGACAGAGTGGGGAACAGAACAGGTAGACAGACCAAAGCATGCTGCCGAGGGGAGCACCTGGCAAGACAGGAGAGGTCTGCCTCGCCATGTGGGTTGCTCCCTGACCAGCTGAGGATCGAACTCGTGCTGCAGAGGCTGTGGATTGCTTCATAGTGTGGTGCTTAACCCCTTAAGCCACCAGGGAGGCCCTATTTTACTTTTTAAATTAGACCTGCTGCCAGGTGTTGTTATCAAATGTGTTAATAATGAAGCACATCTATTATTACATCTAAAATTTTTATTGTTGTGCTACCCTTAGGAGAATGTTTGAGAATTTTGGCTGTTGGGGGGGCAGGGTTCCAGATTGCCTGCTTGCCTTCCTTCTCACTCATGGGAATCTGAAGTGTGGAAAGATCTGGCCTTAAGCATAGAGTTCACGTCATTCTGGAAACAGACAGCCTGTGAGGAACCTCATGTAAACTACCTACTCTAAGCAAACAGCCCATTCCTTATAAAGATGACTGGACAACCACAAATCATCAAATATTTGAAGAAATTTAACCGTATAAACTAAGAACAATGAGATGTACAAACAGCGCTAATCCAGAAGAATTAAATATAATGCAAAAAAGGAAAGGAAATTCAAACTAAGACAATGAAAGAGATGAGAAAGGTTATTGCACATCCATGGACTATAAATGAGTCAAAAAACAAATAACTATAACTATAAGAAAGTAAAAATCAAAATCAACAAACAACTATGAACCAGAGACACTCTATGGTGGGTAGGGGTCAGGAAAAGGAGGGATTGGGGTCAAAATAAGGGGGTTGCAATTGTATGGGCAATATAAAAATAAAATTAAAATTAAAAAAAATAAGTATTAAAAGCATCTTTTCTATGTAAAAAAAATAATAAAAAATAAAAAATCAGATCTGGACAAAAAAGAAAAAAAAGTGAATCAAACAACACTCTCCTACGCTGGTAGGAGAAAACAAAATAGATACCAGTTATGAAGATCAATTTAGAGTTTAGAAAACAAAGCTACAGAAATCTCCCAGAATTTAAAGGTTAGAGACAATGAGATCAAAAGTATGGAAGAAGTATGGAAGATTTGCAAACTATCCAAAATTCATCTAACAAGGAGAGGAAAGAGAATATAATGGGAATATTTCTCTTAGTAGAAAGACATCTTTAGATGGAAAGGATTCATTCACTACAAAAAAAATAATAATCATAAATAATGAAAAGTAACACACCAGAGGACACAGCTTAGTCAAATATCAGAACTCTAAAGATAGAGGAACCACGCAAAAGTTTCTAGAGGTGGGGAGAAAAAAGTACAGGTGATACATGTAGAACTGAGAGTCTATGTCTTCCAAGCAAATCTGAAGACCTCTTTAGTTATATACTACACCATGTAATTACTTAATCAATAGAAATAACCACAAATTTACAAAGAGAAATTGCAAATACCATGTATTTCCTGATAATAGATCATGAAATTACAAGAAATTTGAGTATCTCTTATAAGAATCCTGCAAAAAAGCACAAATACCATGGAAATAATATAATTTCTCTAAATAACGAAAGTACCTCATTTTGATAATCAATTACTATAATGCACTTATGTCTCAGGAGCAACAAAATATGTGGGACTAAGCAGTCCCTGATTGCTTTGGAGGGAAAGCATTTGAATTCCAACACCTGTTTTCTATCATTTCCCCCTATTTTCCCCAGTATTGAGGTTATCAGTTGTCATTTCTTACAACTCACTGTATTTATCTTGTGAATTACCTCCCACCTTTTCTAATCTGATCATTCTAATCTCTTCTAGTCTGGAAAAACAGATCATCCTGTCTGTTAAAACCGTGTCTAAAGTAAAAAGGTACTGAGAAAGGGCCTTCTTTTAAAAAGAATAAAGTTTAAGGCACATGTTAAGAGTGTTTAAAGATCCTCCTGATTTAATTTGTGGTCTCTGGGAATATTACAAAGTGCTGAGAGTGAATAAATTCTGGAAAAATTAGGTATTGTATTTTCTGGAAGTTCCTTTCTATCAGAGATTTTACATAGAGACTTTTATATAGCTTATTTCCTTCTTTTGCATGCATATTTTACTAATCTTGTGATTTTATCCTACTAAACCGAGAAGACTGGCAAATCCCCACCTGTCCTGGAAGAGGCGTGTTGCCAGCATATAGTTCATGGAGGTCTTGTGTTCAAGGTAAGATCTGGAAGATAAAGAGAGACCAGTTATTTCTTGAGCTTAGTTGAAGAAGGAAAATACTGTATAGAAATAAAACCATGAATCAAGCACAGAAGTAGCAGGTTATTTATACACTATTTCTAAAGACATATTATTTCTAAAATGGCAAAAGAGGAGAGGTGCCCAAATCAGAGTAGCAGCAGAAACAAAATAATGAAGGAAATAGTGGACAATTTAGAAAATGAAAAGAAAGAAAATCAGCATTTCTTGGATTATCAAATAGTGATATACTAAATTCAGAATATAAATCTAGAAGATAAAAACAACTACAACTACAGAAAAATACATTGCATGGTAATTCCACTCCAATATGTATATATTCAGGAGACACATACAAGTATATTTATACCACGTCTTCCTTTAATAGCAGAAGGCCAGACAAAAGTCAAATATCATCAACAGGAAAAGGGAAAATTTAGCAGCAGTGTACCCACACAGGGGAGTATAATAAAGTGATGAAAAAGAATTAATTATAACTACATGTGACAAAGTGAATCTTAGTTACATACCATTGAATAAAAAAAAAGCAAGAGCAGAATTCTACTTCTATCTATGAGAAGGTGACTGCTGTAGGACTTGCCCTTCTACCATAAACAGCTAGAAAAGTAAACAAAATATATGAAACAACTGCTTTCAGACGTCTAACAACTGGTAGTGCAACAGGAAATAAAGTGAGCTCTCCAAGTGCTCTTTTTGTCTACAGGCAATTTCCCAACTAAGTAGAAAGAGGAAATTCAAGTGGAGCTCAAGTGTGTCTGAGTTAAGATGACAGAGATCAAAGTCCTAGCAAGCAGCTAGAATATTTAGAGCAATGTACTAGAGAGGAGGAAGCCACAAATAAGAAGGCATCCAAAAATCAGCACAAAGGGACCCTTTGAGTCTGAATGAATACAAATCTGCTCAACACAGCGTGCAAGTCCTCAAGGCTGGGCAAAGAGCAAATGACAGGATGAAGAGCAATTCAGAGAAAGAATAAGTTGACTACTTGGCAGGGTTCATGCAGAGCTGCAAACTGATTATGTTCCCACTAGTTAGAGTAGAGAGACACCCCAGAAGAATCTGGAGTGGTAAAACTATTCTAGACCTAAACAGAAAGCGATTCTAAAGAAACATAAAAATGCTTTAAGATGAACCTGAAAAGGATTACACTGATTTACAGGTAACTTTGTGTCTGACAAAAAAAGAAACTCTTCAACAGGGTTTAAGGAAGGCAATAAAATTCAAACACTCAGCAATATAATATTTATAAGATCCAGCATCCAATTTTAAAAAATGTACATGTAGAGACAGAAGGAAAATGTGTCTCATAAACAAAAGAAAAAGTAGTCAATAGAAACACAGTAATAGTAGAGTAAGCAAAGATTTTAAAGCAGTTTTTATAGCATATATACACACAGGGATAAAGGAACTCAAGAAAATAATGGGAAAGAGAGAAAAGACATAAAAAGAAAAAGACGCAAATTCAAAAGATGGAAAATAAAATCCCTGAAATGAACATTTCACTGAATGGAATTAGCAGACTTGACATTATGGACAAATAGATAAATGAATTTAGAAACAACAAGAAATAGAAAGCCATTCAAAAGTCTGAAAAAAAGAACAGAACCAGACTTGTCATACAGTATCCATCAATTTAACATATAACAAAAGGAAACAGGCTAGGAGGGGAATATAAAACATATTTGAAGAACTAGTGGTCAGAAGTTTTCCAAGTTTGATGCAAACTATAAGGCCACAAACCAAGAAGTTCAGCAAGTCCCAAACAGGAAAAAAAACATGAAGAAAATGACACTAGGGCATAAACCATAACGAACTGTTCAAAATGAGTCATTAGAAATGAAGTAGTTTGGGGAACAGAAGACAATATATGCAGAAAAATGAAGATAATTACTGCACGCTTCTCATCAGAAACCAGCAGAGATAATGGACAATACTTTTAAAGCGCTGTGAAAACAAGTGTCAACCTAGAACTCTATACCAAGTAGGAAAAAAAATCCACACCTTTCGATAATGAGATTAAAAGAAAGATTTTTATAGACAAATGGAAGTGAGAGAACTCATTATGCTATGACAAATACTAAAGGAAGTTCTTCAGGTGGAGGAAAGTGATAGCAGATAAAAACAGAGATCAACACAGAAGAACAAAGGACACTGAAAAACAAGAGCCCTGAGCACATATAAGCGGCTTCTCCTCCCATCTAGATTTCTTTGCATTACAGTGGACTGCTCAAAGTCAAAGTCACATTATGCTGTGGGATCTACCCGGAGTTAAAATGTATGACAATACTAGCACAAAGGGCAGGAATGGAAAGGTTTGTAAAGGTCATAAAGTTTGTAAGTTAAAGCTAACATAGCATGACAGTAGGTTAGACTGTGATAAGTGAAAGATGCAGGTTGTCACTCACAAAAAAAAAAAGGTAACATGAAGAGGCCGGAGAAATTAATTCAAAGAAGGTAGCAGATAATAAAAAGAACAGGTTAAACAGAGAAAACAAAAAATGAAATGACATGTTTAGACCTAATCACTTCACCAGTTCCTAGAACTGACACAATGTTAACAGAACACTTGTACCCTCTGACCACTATCTCCTTATCCCTGCCCCCACCACTCCCACCGTCCCAGGCAGTCACCGTTCTGTCTCTATGAATCTGGCCTTTTTTATTTTTAGACTTCACATATGAGTGAGAACATGCAATATCTGCCTTTCACTGTCTGGCTTATTTCACTTAGGATTATTCCTCTGGGTTCATCCATGTTGCTACAAATGGCAGGATTTCCTTTTTTAGAAACCCACTTAAAACTTCAAGCTACAGAGACAAAATGATGGAAAAAAATATACCATGCAAACACTAGTCATGAGAAAGCTAGAGTATTTCATAACAGATAAGTAGATTTCAGGAACATTATCAGAGATAAATAGGGACATTTCATAACAGTCAAGAAGACATAACAAATATAAAGCATATGTAACCTAATAACAGAATTCCAAGATCCATGAAATGTAAAACAGACACAACCAAAAGACAAAATTGCCAACTTTATAATTATGATGGGAGATTATAGTACCAGACTCCCAATAATTGACAAAATTAGTAAAGATAGAGGAGATCTAAACTAAATGCTCAATCCCCTTGACCTAACAGACATTTATAGAACCCTCCACCCAAGAATAGCAGAATAGATAATCTTTTCAATGTACTTGTTACATTTGCCAGGATAAACCGCATTCTGGGCCATAAAATATGTCTCAGTAAATTTTAAAAGACTCAAGTTATACAAAATGTATTCTCTGAGGACAACAGAAGTAAACTGTAAATTATTAACAGAAAGACTGCTGGAAAAAATCCCAAATAATTGAAAACTAAGTATCACACTTCTATAGGAACCCATAGGCCAAAGATAAAATAAGCAGGGAAATTAGAAGAAAGTATTCTAAATAGAATGAAAACAATGAAACAAACAAAAATAAAGATACAATCAGTTTTGAAAACTCTGCAAAAGCAATACTTTATAAGAAATTTAGGGGGCCTCCCTTGTGGCACAAGGGGTTAAGTTGTAGCACCATGAAGCTATCCACAGCCACTGCAGCACGAGTTTGATCCCCAGCCAGGGAGGTGACCCACATAACGCAGCAGACCTCTCCTGTCTCACCTGCTGCTCCCCTCAGCAGTGTATTTCAGTCATTCTGCCTGTTCTGCTCCCCACTCTGTCTCTGGTGAACCCTCTTACCGCCCCCCCACCTCTGGCCTGCACCCTAGCACTTGTATGCATAAATAAATAAATCTTTAAAAAAAAAAAAAGTTAAAAAAAAAAGAAATTTATAACATTAACCACTTATATAGAAAAGAAGAAAGGTCTCAAATCAGTGACTTTAGCTTCTAGCTAGAAAAGAAGCAAATGAAACCCAAAGTATTTTGATAATTTTGTGTTGTCTTTCAAAATAAATTTTATTTTATTTTATATGTATTTTACATCATTCTTGTACAATGTCTGCTTTCTCCTCTCAGGTTTTAAACTTTCTTTGTGAATTTCTACACAAAAGCCCGCTACTGGCTTTTGATTGGAACTGCACCGAGTGTATATAGATTCATGTGGGGAAAGTGGACATTTTGACAACATTAAATTTTCCAATACATGTTTAGATCTAGTTCTTGAGTTGGGTGATAGTAACAGTATTATAAATAAACAAAGGCCCCACATGGGTGGCAATGATGACAAAGTGTCACAATTATTACAGTTTCTGTGGACTTGAAGTACAGGTTAAAAACAGAAAAGGGCCGTCACCTCACCCATATATTTCCCACGTCTCTGATGTCGGGAATATGCGGATGAATCCCCCTCGCCGGTCGTTCTCTTCCTTTACCCTCCGTAGAACTCTGATCTGCATGGAGAAAGAGAACATAAGGTAGGTACTTATTCCGAAACACTGAGGAGGATAGTGACAACCTATGAATGTGAAAGAAGCAGAAAAGAGGAATTAATTCCGCTTAAGATGCTGCTTCTGAGGAGCGGTTACTCCCACCTGCCTCTCTTTGCAATTGTAACACACAACTTCGTCATGAATCAGTCACTGATGTTCACTGAACCCGGTGTTAGCCCACAAAGACCTAAAGTGGGGTCATCTTTACCTCTTCCATTGACAGACCAAGCACAGAACCACCTAACTTCCCCGGCACCTTCTCCCGGGCAGAACCCACGAGGTTTTTCATTTCCGCATCACTGGCAGAGAGGGGACGGGCACGCTAAGGAGAAGAAAAAACAAAAACCATTCTCATCCTCTTCATTTCCCTCTATTCATAGTCCCTCAACATCATTATCTTTCCGAATATGTATAAGCTCACATCCATTTTTTTCTGTAATTAATGTCTTCACCTGAAACCCTGGGAAATAAGTCAGTGCTAGTAAACTCACAGGCGAGAGGGAAAAAACAGAACAGTAGGAATATACCATGGGCTGAGAGAAACAAACAGAAGAAAAAGAAAGATAACACGTGACATTCTAAGCTACCACTTACTCCTCCTCATCCTGGTTTTAGCATACATCTAAAATTGTTGAGGATATGGGAAAAATTTGAAAGTAACGTCAAATAAGTGTGTATTTATTTAGGTAATAACTCTAGTCTCAGCATGGCGGAGAGTAAAGAGAACTGAGACATAAGACAAGACCAAGGAGCAATCTATTACGTCACAGATGACATAAAAGGCTGGTGTGTTTTAGAACTTGAGTGGGGAAATGCAGAGACGGAGCCACGAGTGACACAGAACAGCCAAGTCAACCAGCCGAAAGGCTACAATGTGAGAGACATGGTGGCTGCTGGCCTCCAGGAAACCTGGAACAAGGACAGCTGCTCTGGACCCTCCAAGGAGGCCTCACTGACCCCCAAAGTGAGGTAGGCTACCTTAGCTTCTGACTTACAATCAGGAAGGTCACTGGAGAACAAAAGATTTGAGTGATTTTGATGTTATGGAAGCAGAGAAATATAAAGGCAACAAGATCATCAGATGGCATGCAGCATAGGAACGCACAGCATGACTGAGACGTCAAATAAATCTGCCAAGTAAGAAGAATAAGAAGTAAATCTAGAAATGTTGGTGCAAACTGTCTTTCTAGATTCCTAGAAGCAACTTTAACCAGAGAAGTCCTATTTTCGGGGGTGATTGTTCATTTTCTCTTGGTGTAGACTATGGAAAGGCATTTTGGTAATGAACTTTTGACCTTTTCAGCAACAGTAACTGTTACGGAATGAATGTTTGTGTCCTCCTCATCTTTATATGTTAAGTTCTAAGCCTCAATGTGAGGGTATCTGGAGATGGGAGAAAGTTAGGGTTAGTCAAGATTAAGAGTGTGAGGCCCTGGTCGAATGGGATCAGTGCCTTTGAAAGAGACAGCAGGAAGCACAAGCTCTCTCTCCTCCCCATACTCTCTTGGCACACTCAAAGAAGAGAAAACACAAGTAAGATGGTGGCCACTTGCAAGACTACAAGAGCCCTCAGAACAAAACCGAGCTTGCCAAGCACCTTGACCGTGGACTTACCAACCTCCAGAACTGCGGGAAATAAATTTCTGTGGTTTAAGCCACCAAGTCTATGTTTTTGTTAAAAGAGTCCAAGCAGCCGAATACACCTCTGCACACAAATCATCAGGAATAGTTTTACCTTTGGCCATAAGGGCAATCAAGACACACTAACCTCAGTGCTAGTACGGGAGTTACAAAAATTAGTATTTTCTGACAAGCAACTCTATAATGAAATACTATGTAGAGAAAAACCATGAAGTTAGCAGATGGATATAAGCAACATATGAAAGTAAGGACTTCTATTCAGCTTTTCCTGTGATCTCCTCACCATCCAGAATAGTAACTGGCATGGAGCAGGAAACTAATAAGTACTTGTTGAACAAATAAATGAATGAATGTGCTGACACACAGATCAATCACCATTGGCGTTAAACTTTGTAGAGGACTTCGGAAAAAACTTCAACTTCAGTCCAATCTTTGAGGACACATTAAACATTTTGAGTTGGATGAGAGGGAAATCAAGGGGAAAATTAAATGATTTGGGAAGGGAATCAAGAGCATTTTAAAAAAAATTCTTTAAAGTATGAATGCTTGCTTAGTGTATGATTCAGGAAAGCCAAATATTAAATGAATGCTTTGAGGCCTCTTCTTGTTTTCGCATACTGTTGATATTTACTATTTGTGAAAAATCCTTAATCTCCTTCACATGTGACCACAGGGCTCAGATGAGAAAGTCTCTGGCAAAAAATCCTCTAAGGCCCAGTGACCTCACAGTTGCCTGCTCCCACTATCGAATACACCTTAAAGTCATCTGATTTATGTAAGAGCAAGGACGAAGTCAGCATTCATTTAAGTAAGGCAATAAAAATAAAGATTAACATCTAATGAGCACGTCTAAGTTTTGTTTTTCAAATTTTGTTTTATTGCTTTCTGTTTAATTTTTGTTCCTCTTATAGTCTTTTTTATTATTGGTCTTTTAATGTTTATTTGTTGTTTATTTTTCTATTTAACCTTTTTCTTTTTCTTTTGCCTCTCTATTTTTTATCTTTGTGGAATTGCTTCACCATGGAATGGTACTCTGGCTTCCAGAGAGTAAGATTATGATGATATTGCAATTTCCCTCTATTAATCTAAACCAGTTAACTTTTTCTGCCAAACACTTGGTTGCTCACAATCTAAAATTCTAACTAGCCACTGTATGCATGGACCTATGCTGTTTGGGTGAGACATGTAGGAATTCAGGCAGGTGCTTCTGGGTGGGTACTCGGAAAGTTTGAAAAAGAAAGGAGCTGAGAGGTGATGGTGACTTGTTAGTAAATGCTCCAACTGCTAACTCCATTAAGCTGACGGTTTTACTCTTGCAGTGTCACAAATATCACCAGGCTACAAAGACAAGTCAATGACTCCTCTAGGGATGGGGGAAGGAGGATGTGACTAGAACTCCTTTAATGTTATCACTTAGTTATTTCAATCTAAACCATAACAAGGCTGTGAGTTAGAGAAATATGAAAAAATTGTAGTTATGGAAGTCTAGATATAGCAAATGCCTATGAGAATTCACCCAGGTTTGCCATGTCTTTGGGGAAGCTACTGGAAAATATAAGACTAAAAATTCGAATGTATTTTTGCCAATCTCTGCTTTTCAATGACTTTGATACTAGAGACAATTTTTTGCAACCAACATAAAATTTGCTGTATTTTATTTCAGGCCATTGGTTGAATCCTATCAATATTTATTAATTAGATGAATGATTAAGAAATGTAACCCGATAGACAGAGATCAGAGGAAAGGCAGAGAAGAAAAGATTGACATGAAAAAAAGAAAAAAGGAAAAACAGAAAAGCTTATGAATGCCAAGGAGCTATACCTGGAGATTAAAAGCCAAAGAAAAAAGGAATCTGTCTTCTCTGAAAGGCCATCAGGACTGTCAGAAATAAGGGCAAAACAGTCCAAATGCAAGATACTTTGTAGTTTGGCTTTGGGTACATCTACTACTTTCTGAGTAAAATAAATCTACATTATTTTGAATGGTTGACTGGATGCACTAACTAAAGCTCCCTAGAACTTAAAGAGAACCACTGCCTCTGGATAGATGACACATGATGTAAACTATTAGGTGCTCAGATAGACTTTAACTGCCAAATTACTGTCCAGGTAAGAATTGTGCCATGCAGGATGCATCAAAGATATTAAGTTATCATTAGTATAATTTATAATTCAGAAATACATCCCAAAAAGAAAGTTTTACATACCTAATCTTTATTACTAGGAAGAACTGGCTGAAAATGTTGACTCAGAAAAATGATTCTTAGCCTACAGAAAGCTGCAAGTATGAGTAATAAAAAAAATGGACAAAATGTAGAGTATGAAAAAAAGGTGATATATCCCAAAAAAATATCATAATTGAGGGGCAAAAGAATAATATTTTAATGAAGTTTTACAAAGCTTGGCATTCTATGTTGAAAACAAATTACCATGACAGAGATCGCTCAATTTCTATGTGATTCAATGTGCCATCTAGAAAATAAAAGTTAAAATCAGGCTTAAAGGTAAAATGAATTAATGATATCCAAAGAAAGAATATGAACAAAAGGGACCATGTATCAATAAATTTGAGCGAAAAGATTAAAAAATGATGAATATAAAAGGTTTATAAGTAATGATAACCAGAAGTATACTTTGAAATTAGAGAGGGAAAAGAAAGTAAGTAAATAAACCTTTATTATAGTTAAAAAAAAAAAAAAAAAAAGCGGAAGATGGGGGATCTGTAGCATCCGGAAATTTTGAATAAATATAAGTCAGCAGGTCTGAGAGACATGCATCTTGTTATTAAGGGACCTGGCTTTAAAAAACAGAAAGACTGGGCCTCCCCAGTGGCGCAGCGGGTTAAGAGCAGTGCTGTGAAGCTGTCCACAGCCTCTGCAGCGCAGGTTCAATCCCAGCTGGTGAGAATTCCACATGGTGCAGCAGACCTCTCCTATCTTGCCCGCTGCTCCCCTCAGCAGTATATTTCAGTCGTCTGCCTGTTCTGCTCCCTGCTCTGTCTCTGGTGAGTCCTCTCACCCTCCTGCACCTCTGGCCTGTACCCCAGCTCTTGTATAAAAATAAATAAATCTTTAAAAAAATTAAAAAATAAAAACCAGAAAGACTTACCAAACCACTTACAATTATGTTTGAAAAATCATGAAGAACTGAGGAGGTAACAGAGGAATAAAAAAAAAAAATGAGGTGCCAATATTCAAAAACGTAGGAAGTGTGCTCCTGGTGATTACTGCTGGGTAAGTCTAACCCGAGTCCCTAGTGAAATAATGGAACAAATATTTAAAAAAAAAAAAAAAAAAGCCATAAACATTTAGTGTTTAATGGGCTCAGGAAGGACAGTAGCATTGAGCCTGCTTTATTTACTTTAAAACATAAATTTTTATTTTTAGGACAAAATTATAAAAAAAAGGGGGTATATAGTGAAAATCTTTAATGTGTTTGGATTTTAGAGAAACATTTGTAAAAATTTCATAAAATTTTTGCTTTATGTTTTCAATCAGGACTCAGCGTCATGATATAATGAATAAAATACTTAACAATAAGATAAATAGTAGCGAATCAAGTTAGGAATTGCTTTCTGGAATGGGTATTAACTAAGCATTATTTGACTCTTCAGGAATGTCTAGAAGGATGGATGAATGGATAGATAATAAATCTATTAGTATCCATGAATAATAGTAAATT